GGGAGGCAGCCCAGCAGGGGCTGCCTCCCGACCCCCACACTTGACTTCCCATCCCCAGCAAAACTCAAAACAGCATCAAACAGTGTAAAAACAGCCTTTCTGTTTCAATAGAACAGAACAGCTGTTTCGACTCGAAATGAAATTCAAGATGAAACACTGTTCCCTCAAACCCTCGAAACTCAAGGTGAAACAGAACCATTTCACACAGGCCTAGTAACGACTTCCTCTCCCTGGTCCAGAAAGGATCCTTGCAGCTGACAGGCGTGACCACAAGAAAGGGCAGGAGAAAGGGTGCTAAAGGAATGTAATATAACTCATCCATTTTCCTTCATGGCCTTTCCCTCCCACTTTTTACATTGGCTTCTCCCAATCTCAGTGAACGAAACTTGCAGCCACTTTCCAGCACTGTTTTTCCCTACCAGTCTTTTGACTCTTGACTCATCTTGTTTTTCCACATTTTCATAGCAAGCAATTGAATTAATCAATAATTCCACTAAAAATATTGCAAGAGATTGAATTTAACACTAATTGATTGCTATGGTTTGGATCAAATTAAGCTTAAGCAGTCTACAGTGTCTTTGTTTTCCGTTTACTGCACCTTATTAAAATACTAAGGAAGTAATGGGGTTGCCAACTCTTGCAATTTTTTTATTGTGAGTTTCTTGATATTTAAGAGCAGTTTTTAAGCACCAGGTGCTGGAATTGAGCAAATTCTATGAGGATTCACCATTCCCCGCCTCCTAAATGCAGCCCGATAATGGCAAATCCTTTGAAACCATGGTAAAAGTCTTCCTCTAAGGTTCTGAGACTAGAAGGCAAAGAAGAAAACCCTAAAATGGAAAAATTTCTGATCTTTCAAAACAACCTAATCTCATCATAGGGGAGACTGAATCTTTTTCCTTTCCCTATGTTTGGAATTGGCAATATTTAGCCTGCTTATAACCATTTTGCCCTCAGATATTCTGAGGCCTGTTATAAAGAATACATGCACTTTGTTATCTCTACTTGTTTTCTTCAAAATAAAAGTGATTGGACTTGAGCTACACAATTGGATTTGTTTAACTTTTGTCCACGGAGAACTATAACAGTTCTCATCTAACGCACTGAAAATAAAGCTGGTTGTTAGCTACACCCCTAAGTGTTTATCCTACAGACCTGTTGGGAAGATACGTTTTATATTGGATGCCCTATAGAAGCAAGTAGAGTGTCAAGCTTATTCCGTGTTCTCTAATATCCCTTTGCAATTAATGGGAATTTGGCATAAGCAAAGAACGCAACAACGGGCTCCAAAGATATAACTCTAATTTCAGATGTAATCTAAACCCCAAACTTTCCAGTTTAGCAGCTTATTTAGCAGCTCTTTCAAATGAACGGACAGTTCTACAGCTGATTTCAGTGGCATTACAACTCTGCTCATATTGCGTAGGCTTATTGAAAAGAAATAGTGCTTCTGAAATGGTTCTTGGAACTAAGATTTCAGTAATGATTTTAGCCCTTTTTCCTCATTCCTGATAATAGTCCTACAATTGGGTAAAATAGCAGAAAACTATTGAGCCTCAGTAAGTAGCAAATCTCACTAGTCTTTTCTTTTTCAAATCGCTTATCCTTTCCAGGTCTCCTAAGATGTATTTCCATTAAACCCCCCTGGCATTCTGAAGAAGCGCTTGCCCCCTCCACATAGTGTTTGGTGGTTGACTCTTGCCAAGAACATGAAGAAGTTATGCAACAGCGGAGCAAGGATGTTGTTCAGATGCAACCTGCCAGGAGTGGAAACCAGTCTCGCAAGTAGACCGGCGTTGCTCACTCAGGTGGGAGCGCATCTAAAAGATGTCACCGCACACACCACACCTCACTGGGGGGGTTTCAGCTTTGTTTTGCCCAGTAAAATATTTCACAAAAGGTCTGGGTGAATGAGCAATACACTAACGGTGGGCATAATGGTTTGAACACATCATACATGCATTAGCAGTTCGGGGATAGCATACTCCTTATGTAACTTTATAATTCCTCCTCAAACATCAGAACCAACCTGCAAGATGAGATCTGGGGCACATTTGGTTATTTTAAACCCCCTATGTAAGTAATTTTTTTATGCCTTGAAGCATGAGGGGTTTTCTCTGCTCCTTGGACTCTTGGCTTCAATGACACCTTGTGGCAATGAGTTCCACAAGTTAAATGTTGCCTTGAAAACATACAAAACAATGCATTATCTTTATGTGGTTTTGGTTAGTTTTGTTCATTTTAACTGATATCTTCTTTCTCTCCTGAGGAGGTAAATAAGAGAGTTTGATGTCTCTTTTCCCCATGGTTAATTATTCTACACGCTATACCTTTAGCACTTTCATTCTTACTCTCCTCCTTGGAAGCCTAAATAGTTCATAACAGGGATTTACAGCTCAAAATGTATTGAGTACCCCTTGCAAGGTATACTTTCCAGTGGGAGACTGCTATGAGTGGGATCTATTCTGCCTCTTTGCAAGCAGCAAAGCAGACATGCTGATAAACGAATCAGTGGGCAGTGAGGGTGTAGGACTTACTGTTTTGTTTTCCAAATCTTTTCCCATTTAATAAAGTGGCTTAATTATGGTGGATCCCATGCTGCCTGCAGAGCTGTATGCTGTCCAAACTTGGGGGCCAGAGGAGCCATAGGGTGAACCTAGGCCCTGATCTATACTGACATATCAGCCTATGGGAGGCTACAAAATGATATATGCTCATTAAATCTATCCTGTTCGACCCAAGAGGCTCCCCTGTACCAAGGGCATTCCAAGTGGTCTGGTTATTTCCTGGCTCTGGAAAGGAGCCCTGAACAAAGACTGCCTGCTTCCTTATTGCAGCCTGTCTAGATGCCCTCGGTTACATGAAGGTGCCAGGTTTCAAAGGGACATTTTGATCGTGAAACTAGCCAGTTGCACCAATGTTTTTTATGCCACAAGTGAGAGCAGGCCTGTTTGATCAGTAATGTAATCTGACTGATGAGAGCATGAAAGGCCAGAAAGGAAACAGCTTTCTCATCGAGATTGTGTCACAGGTCAGTGACTGCAGAGCATTACCATCTGACTGCTTAGCGGCCCGTGTTGGATTAAGTGGAGTGTCTCAGTTCAGTTCCTTGTGGATGGGTGAATGCATTGCAAAAAAACACTGACAAACCTGCTGCCAACTGACCTCACTTCCAAGACAGCCATCAAGGTGTCCAAACCCATGTGAGACCAGACCCTGAACTTTTCTTACACATTGGAAGTCCACCCCCGTGATAAGTTGATGGGTTGTGGCAGGGCAGCACAGAGAGAATTTGTGTTACTTTTGCCTTTACTTGTCTTGTGGTTAAATAGAAAATAATGATTTTTACTGCAGGGCTGAAAGAAAAATGCAAGTCTCTGGCTCTTCCAAGCAGCTTTTTTCTTCTCCTCACATGGTAACTTCTTACATATTCCCACAAGATAGATGGATGATGAGCCCAACTATAGGAGAGTTTGTCACTGTGCTTGGCTTGACTTGCATTGGCTCTACACAGGTGATAAAACATCAGAGAAAAAAGCAATGTTCTTATGCAATTTAGTTTTTCTTCATGCCAACCCCTTGAAAGATTTGAATGCCAGGATCTGAGGGGGAAGTACTTCTGGAAAAAAATATCAGGTACTACTGTCCAAAAAGAGCTATATTTGCTTTCAGAGCTCCTGGCATTTCATTTATCTGCATTTAAATATGACTCTTCTGTGCAAAGTTCCCTGTGTAAAATTCTGTTGACTGGTAGGAAATATTTGGGTTTCTGATTGGGGTTGGGAACTTATGGATCTCTCCAAGAAAAAATAGAGCAGAAATACTGGATATAGATTAGTAGAGATATGCAAAGCATCTTCTACAAGGGCAATTTTATACCTTTTTCTAGAGTCTTATTGCCCTATAGAACAAAAGCTAGAATGTATCTACTTACGACTATAGTTTGTTTAATTTCCATTGAATTCATTCACACTGCTGTCAAACCCTGTTGATTTTTTGACAACTACATTTGATACACCAGTGGTAGTACTAGAAGTACACTGAAAGTCAAATGCCACTTGTGCTGTGGGATGACACAAGAGAGCATCAATTCCTATGTCCTTTAAAGATGATAGAGTGTGTGAAACCTTAATTATTGATGCCCACCACGGTGGAAAGGGGATGTAGCCAGGACCAAACGAGGCTTACGGTTTCAAACAGGGCTAGAATCGAACGGTGTAGAAATGTGTTCATACACAACGGGGAAATCAGCTCTGACCGTCTATCTACAGGTCTGATCGTTCAGAGGGAGAAAGAAAGTTATATTGTTCCCCAGGGTGTTAAGAGGAGGGATGAATGGATGGCAACAGAGGACCCCAGTTGCATAGGCAGTCTACGCAGAGTTCCCTCGGTGACACTTTGGGAGAGACTGCCGCCGCTGGGGAGCAGAACCGAATTGTTAGAGGACAAAAATAGCATTTGTTTGAGTAGCCAGAAGCATTTTCTTTGAGGTAAGGACTCTGCTCAACAGTCACACACTAGTTTCCTGCAGATATTAGTCTCTTGCGGGGAGTGTTCAGCGTAGCTCCAGCTGGTCCTTCAATAGCATACGGTGAAGAGAGGGGTGCTTGCCGAAGCTAAAGGCAGCAGCAGAGGTGGGCAAACTCTGGCGAGATCTCTCTAACTCAGCCACCAAAACCCCCTTAAATCACTGCACCTGGGTGAGATAAAAGAATCTCAGTGGAATCAAGCTGCACTCCCCAAGGACTGAAGACAGGCAAGTCTTGAGTGCATGTCAGGACTGCGGACATGGACACCACTGCTGCAGACACCCAACTGTCTGGGGATGATGGAAGGGGAAGGTTGTAGGGGTGCATTTGTCTGCTGGACAGTTGCAGCAGTGAGTGGGGAAACCAAGTTATCGGACTACTTCCAAAACTAGCAAGGGGAGTGTCTTATTTACCATTCATAAAGACAGATTGAGGTGTGCCACTCCTTTTTTTTCCCTAATCAAGTTTCCTTTGGTCTCTCATATGCTGTAGAGTGTCTATAGAGTCAAATATTACCCATAGTTTTTAAATGAAATTTGGGAATAGTTTTAAAGCAAGTTCTAATGCAGTCATTATTTCTGAAAATGGGAAGGTTTTATTAATTATAGAAGCTGGTCTCTGCGAGGATCTTTTTCTTAAAGCAGCACTTCAGGGACTGACATGCAAACCTCTTGCTGAGCGATGACATTCATTCCAACAGGGTGGATGGGCCTTGAATTTAAACCAGAGGCATGTAGCGGTTGTGCAAACAGAGGAGCAGACAATCTCACATAATCCCCCCCACCTGCTTTTAGCAGGTCATATAGTGGCCCCATCAGACCTGGTGATCTTGCACGGCGATGCAGTAGCTTTCATAAAGCAGCGTTATTGCCTGCTGATGGATTTAGGGCGGATTTAGCACTTCTTTTAAAACTAAAGTTGGAATTCAGGAATATGTTGTTCTTTTATCCCTTTATTCCTCTCTAGCCTCGCTTCTTCGTCCTGCAGAAATACCGGACTCATGGGCCATTAGTCTAAACGACTGCATAAATCCACCTACCTTTTCACAGTAATCGCCTAGGAGTAAAAGTCACTGGGTCAAATTCATCCCATGTCAGGCTGCTGAGCCTGTGAGGATACATCATAAATGAGCCTGGCCCATTGATTTAACTACTATTTTAAAATACATGAGCTGTAATTCTCTCCTTGCAGTGCTGCATGTTACACTGATGTTAGGAGCCAACATTTCTGTTCGTGGAAGGTGTTGGGTCCTGTTGCCTCAGAGCGAAGCTCCTAGATTTCATTCCCACCTCAACAGTGAACTGATGCAGATCAGTCCCTTAAGCTCTCCATGGCCTCTGCTTTTTGCCTGGAGGTATCATGAGCTTCACTAATGTTAGTAACTGCTATTCGGGCTTGAGTTACTTCTAGCTGCGTCCCGAGAGGTGTTTTACCTGGGAAAACAAAGGGGGCTCAGGGACATGAAGGTTCAGGGAGATGAGTTCCTTTCTTCAGCAGATAGCAAAACTCAGCTACAAACAAAGCCTTTCTATTAGGCAGACCTGTTGTTTTTTATACTTTCATAGGTTTCATAGATATTTTTGGGTCAGAAGAAACCTCAGTAGATCATTGAGTCTGCCCCCTGCCCTGGGTAGGAAAGAGCCCTGGGGTCAGATGACCCCAGTCAGGTGCTAGTCCAGTCTCCTCTCAAAGCCCCCTCAGGTAGGGGAGAGCACCACCTCCCTTGGAAGCCCAAACTTTGAAGTTTGCTATAGTGTTTTTGTGGCTGTGATAGCCCAGGGAATATGCAAGAAGTAAGATTTGTTTGCTAGTATCTTTTATTGCACTGACTATGGAGTTGGGAGAGAGATTAGGTAAGCTTTTGGGCACAAAATGCCCTTCCTCAAGTCTGGGAATGAAGTAGATACAGTCCCACCTGAATACCATGGAAAACAATTACTTTTGTTTAAGCCCATTATAGAAGTGGAAATGGTCACTTAATGAAAAGAAGGCCATAAAACTTTGGGGCAAAGGGAAGTTGTTTGAAATCTCTAGAAACCAATGAACAGCAATTGAAATCTATTGCAAAGGTGATCCTCTTCCACGCTCCCTGGTCTTTTGAAACCCCACCCACTGTTGTAATGTGCCTTCATCTTGGCCTGAAGACTAAGTCTCAAAAAACAGTGAACCTTTTACATGAACATGTTTTCAGGACTCAAGTGGGCAAAACAGGACCACGCTTAGAAGCCTAAGGGCCATGGAAACACCTAATAAGTCAAATAGGATCTAGCCTGGACTTC